TTTAGGTATGAACAGGTGCTGCTTTTCATGGCCCTTGGGGCAATGTGAGGCTTTCCTGTTGAACTTCTGCTTGTTACGCAGCAAATCAAAGTACAAGGGTTCTGACATGCATACGCACAAACACACACACACACAGAGATGGCAACCATAGAAATTAGGAATACAAAAGCACTAAGGGCTGCGGCAGAAGAAAGTGAAGAGAACAGGCAGCTGCTGGCAGTAAAAAACCCCCACAATGCTGATTTAATAATCCTGTAATTTAGTGATCCTCTGCATATCTGCTCAGAAGTAAGCTCTATAAAGTCCAGTGGGACTTACAGGTAAGTGTGTATAGCAGGGGTGTGAAATCTCAAGCCTGGGGCGAATGTGGTCCTCTAAGCCTCTTTATCTGGACCTTGAAACTCTCCCCAGGCCACACCTCTGCTGTGCACTCTGAGGATTTTTGCCTGGCTGGAATGTGTCCTTCAACTCTGGATGGAGCTTAGAGAGAAGGTGTGTGCAAGGTAAAATTTACATGGTTTACTCCAGCCACTTTTGCATTTGATCCCAGCCACCACTGGTGTGTAGCTCTGGGAAGGTTTATTAGAAGGGAATGTGGACCTTGGGTTGAAAAAGGGCTGACACCTCTGGTTTACAGGATTGTAGTGTTCGTGTATAAGGATGCATATCTTGGTGGCTGTATTTTCTTAACCAAATATTTCAGTCCCAGTCATTTTCGTTACTGAAAAACATTTGAGGTATTTGTACAGCGTGTACAATTAACATGGCAACCTTTGATCTCAATGCTCCAGCTGTTTGGGGAGAGGAAATTAATGTTAAAGCAGTGTTGACTATAGCAGAGATAAGCATATATTTACAAGTGAGACTTGAAATCACTTTCCACACAATACTTTACAGATCTCACAATTCCCATTGACTTCAGTGGGACTTACTCCCAGGTAAGTAGGCATAGGATTGCATCCCTGGTCTCTTTTTGGGTCACTCTTCATGTTATGCTCTTACTTCACCCACACCCAGAAAACAGCCATTTCTTATACTTTGTCACTAGTGAGTATTCCCACCACGGCTTGTGTAATTAGGCTTGACTGAAACAAGAGACGTTTCGCTAACTAACACTGCCATTCTGTGCACAGTTAACTGGAAGTAAGACCCACTGAAATCAGTGCACTAACTTCAAAGAAACAACCATGTCATTACTTTAACTCCAGCTGTGAACATCGCAATGTTTTTTTAGCTGAATCCTGAGAAGGAGAGCTGCTTTCTGGGCTGCATCTGCGCTGTTAATTTACCCTCTTTAACAGTCATCATGACTTCCCTAAGAGGTGCCAGAGTTGTGTGGAGATTCCTATTCCCTTTGGAGAGCTACACTTCCCAGAGATTTCTGCAAGAGTATTGGGATGGCTGCGTGTTTTTGTGGCTGGGGGGGGGGGGGCAAGAGGAAGACTAGAAGGGCTGGTCAAGAGGTGGGAGTACGGATGGGCAAATCTGTCTGTTTTGGTTTCTCTCAGTTTCTCATTTTTCCTACTTTAAGTTCAGTTCTCCACAGTTCCACATCAGCATTCAAGTTTACTACAATAAATCTCATCAACATTTTAGTGCAAGTTTCTCCTAATATGCACATGTTTGCAAAGCATTTCCCCTTAATATAGTTCATTTTTGGATATAATTTTATCTAATGTATATGCATTTTTATGCACTCTTTACCCTTGTATATGCATTTTTGTAAGGTTAAAAAGGTAAATGACCCCTGGATGGTTAAGTCCAGTCAAAGGTGACTATGGGGTACTGCACTCATCTCGCTTCAGGCCAAGGGAGCCGGCATTTGTCCACAGATATCTCTCTGGGTCATGTGACCAGCATGACTAAAACGCTTCTGGTGCAACGGAACACCGTGATGGAAACCAGAGTGCATGGAAATGCCATTTACCTTCCCACTGCAGCGGTACCTGTTTATCTACTTGCACTGGTGTGCTTTCAAACTGCTAGGTTGGTAGAAGCTGGGAAAGAGCAATGGGAGCTCACTCCATCGTGCAGATTCAAACCAACCTTCTGATTGGCAAGCCCAAGAGGCTCAGTGCTTTGGACTACAGCGCAACCAGAGTACCTGCCTTTTTGTACACATTGATCGGCACTGCAAAATTTGGAGGAGTTCAAATGTCAAAGGCTGATGTGTGTGTGAACATGAACTGAAAGTAAGATGAGCCATCCCAAAACATTTAGCTGCCTGAGCCAATGGAAATATGTTTTTCTTTTCTTTTTTCATTCAAAGCTGCTGGACAGCAGTGGGGCACTATACCTCCACTGGGCCCGTAGGGAACAGGCTAGTTTGGGGAAGGAGGGCAGACCACAGGAGTCCCAGGACCTGTGCTCCCAACAGTGCCAGTCAGCATAGCCAACAGTTAGGAATGATGGCAGCTGCAGCCGAACATCACCCGGAGAGTCACAAGTTCCCCACCTCTGATTGTTAAGTGCTGCTTCCACCTCCCTTCACAGCATTCTGAGAATACCGTACAAAATATGTCTAGTTAATGTTTAAAACTTCTACCTTAAGGCATTCTCTCATGCTGCTATGAAAACCTCTTTTCGGCACTCTGGAGCTGACCATACAAGCTCATTTTCGCCACCAGGTAAAGCCAGCCCAAATCATCAAGGAAATTCAGAACTGTCTGGTTTTTGTTTGGGTTGGAATTAAATTTAAAATGACAAACATCATTGCTAGCAAGACTAGGAAAACATTTTACACTTTTAATTCTTGTTAGCAGTTTCTCACTTTTGCATATCCATTTCTTTCCTTCTTTGTCTTGGCATAAAACATTACAATAGTGGTATGTTTATTCTGGAGCCTGTTCAGCGTGTAAAGGCATTTATTTGTTTAATTTGCAGTATTTATTACATGCTACCTGGTAGCAGAAGTTATTTGGGTGTACAAGCCAAATTAAAAAGAAAAAGAAAAAAACCTGAAGTATGTTTAACTCTGGTCCCCTCCACCCTAATTGTGAAATCTAAACAAGCCTGAAAAGGACAGTAGAATAATATCAGTGTAAAACCAGCTACAGAGAATAACACTAGCACCAAGGATCTGAGGAAGGGCTGTAGCCTGGTGATAGGGCATCTTCTTTGCATGCGGAAGATTCCAGGTTCAATCTCTGGCATCTCCGGGTAGGCCTGGAAGAGACTCGTCTCTGAAAACCCTGGAGAACCACTGCCAGTCACTGTAGACCAGGGCTAGCCAGTTGGGTGCCCTGCAGATGCTGTTGGACTTCAGCTTTCATCCTCCCCAGCCAACATGGCCAGTGGTCAGGGATGCTGGGAGTTGGAGTTCAGCAACATCTGGAGGTCACCACATGAACTACCCCTGGATAGACCATACTGAGCTAGGTGAACTAATGGAATCTCTTGATATAAAGCAGCTTCCTGTGTTCTGAAGACATTAAGGTACCTTAGAATACTAGGGCTGGAAGGGACCCTGAGGATCATCTGGTGCAGGGGTCGGCAAGGTTTACCTCGCCTGGACTGATACACTCCACTGGAGATCCCTCCGTGGGCCAGATCACGCGTAAGCATGCACAGCTGCGATTTCCAGTGTCTGCGTCTGCGCAGATGAGATTTTCGGCACCATAGAAGTGAGTCCTCGCGTGCTGCGCTAGTTTAGCACAGCGCGGGGGGGGGCACTCCAAGCGGGTAGCTTGGTTCAGGGGCGGCTCGTGGGCCGGTTAAATGACCCCTGTGGGCCGCTTGTGGCCCATGGGCCTTAGGTTGCCTACCCCTGATCTACTGCAATGCCTGCAATGCAGGAATATGCAGTTTTACCTTACAGGAATCGAGCCTGCAACCGTAGTGTTATCAATACCACACTCTAACCAGCTAAGCTATCAAAGGCACAGTTATTTTCTCTTGAGAGAAAAGAAGTCTATTTATTAAAGTATCCTATACATATGCAACTTATAAATCCACAACAAAATAATGATGTTTTTTTTAAAAAAGTACATACTGCAATGCACCCAATAACATAAGACGTATGTTTCATTGTACTTTGTTACTCCTACGTAACAAACATTCTCCACTTCTCTATGAACAGATTATTCTGTCTCCTATCATCTCTAAACCTAACTCTCTTTGTTAAGATGAAAAAGGTTGGGAAAAATTCAAAATCTACGTGGCGCGAAATTATCACCAGATGAAAGTGCAGGGCAAGTCTTTTTAGGGAGTGCATTACATGATGTATGGAGGAGAAATTTGATTCCGTTCACACCTGAAGGTAAACCAACTAAATTTACAGCTTCCAAAACAATGTGCAAACCAAAGCACAAACATCATTTGAAATCTGCATGTCTCTCAGTTTTGCAGTGTGGTTTTCTCACCAAGGAATGTTAACAGAAATGCATATACTGTACTGGGGCAAAGTGTGCACAGAAATTTTTAAAATAGTGCAAATAGCATGCAAGCATGCATTAGTTTGCAAACAAAAGTATATATTAGACAAAACTGCAAACCAACATGTGTACATTAGGAGAAATTCACACTAAGGTGCTCATGTGCAATTTTTTTTAAATCTGCAAACTGGTGTGGAAATGTAAAGAGTGGAAGATTGGAAAAATGAGAAACAGAGATTTGCCCATCCTTAGCTGTAAGATAGATGATGTCTCTCTGTGTGTATGAAAATGATACATGAGTAATATATAGGAGTACTGTAAGAATAGACAAGCTTTTTGCTGTTAAGAGCCACGTTGCCCTGATGTACAGTGGTACCTCAGGTTAAGTACTTAATTCGTTCCGGAGGTCTGTACTTAACCTGAAACTGTTCTTAACCTGAATCACCACTTTAGCTAATGGGGCCTCCTGCTGCTGCCGCACCGCCAGAGCACAATTTCTGTTCTCATCCTGAAGCAAAGAGGAACTATTTCTGGGTTAGCAGAGTCTGTAACCTGAAGCGTATGTAACCCGAGGTACCACTGTAGTCTGTTGGCGCCGCTTGCAAGCTGTGGGTGGAGCCAAAGCTAATAATCGTAAGGGCCACCCAATTTCTCTCTGTGTCTTTGTCCCTTCCCCTCCTCCATCCCCCAAGGGCTGCCAGGGAAGGGACAGAATGCTCTTGCTGACAGTCTGAACCGTTCACTTACAGAGGGCTTTCGAAATTAGGTTGCAGACCGCAGGGTTCCCACCTCTGGAGCCACATACTTGTTTGAGTGCAGTGTGATTCCTCTGGCACTTTGAATACGCCCTTTAGTTGAGCCACACAATGCTCTGGGTTCCACGACTGCAAAGAGGGCATTGTGATCTCTGCGGCAGGAGAACAGAACCCACGTTTTTGCATTGTTGTGCACTGAAACTGGCTGCATTCCACCTCTTTGGGGCAGGAAAGAAACATGAGACCGATGTGAAACTTCTTGCTTTATTTGGCTACTGAACCAGTGGCCTCTCGTATTCACCATTACGTGATTTGAGATAGTGCCATAGAAAGCAATTCAGGAAGTTAATGTTATCTCCTGGTGGATTATACTATGTTACAATATGTTTTTGGTAACAACTTCCCTCCTTCATCTCTGAGGCCGGCAAGGAGTCCATTGTTTTGATTTCCTCTGTTTCAGAATGGTGAAAAGTGCTTTACGCTCCAAGGATGAAATAACATCCTAAATGGTTTGGAGGCTGCAGTCTTTCAAGGGTTGCCTCGCCTTCTGCATGTGCCTGTCCCACCCAGTGTGGTAGATGCTCCAAAAACTTTGAGGTGTGGCGATCAGAACCATATACAGTATTCCAAGTGTATCCACTAATTGCTGGACAGATTACTGCTGTGTCATTGTGAGTTTAACCCCTTCCTTATTCTACTTCGAACCAGCTCCTCTAACCTTACCTGTTGGTGTGAGTCATATGACAAAATAAAAATGGGAGAGAAGAGAATTTCCAGTTATGACTATTACACCCTTTGGGCCAGGAGTTTCCTGCCATAAATAACCAGGAATGTTTAATTACGATTTTATAAGGATTTATTTTTTTTGCACTGAAGAAGGCAATAGCATGCACAAAATGGGACCAACTTAGGAGGAAATCATTAAGCCATGCAAATGCTAATTAATGTCCCTAGACAAGAGAAGGCTAGTCTGAGAGTTTGCATGCACTCACCTAGTCTTCTGACTTTCTCCAGAATATTCATGCTCTGGAATCGTATGTATTATTTTTCTACCATGCATATATGTTTTTGCAGCATGCCGAGATTGTGCCTACTAATGGGGTTTCCTTACTAATGGGTTCCTGTGCGTTTGGCTCTGCTGGTTGTTGCACTTGGAGCTTGCGAGTGTAAAATGAATTTTGCTGGGGTCAGCTGAATTCTGAAAAAGAGTTAATAACTGGCAGTGAAGTGTGCCTGTATGGCTTCTAATCAGTGCTTTCTTGATGACAAGGAGATGTTCGTTTTGAAAGTGGTAATTATTTGATGGGAGATGCAATCTGAAATCACTTGTGTACTTTGTCATTAAGGCAGAAATGTGTGCACTGATGCTTCCTGGCCCATGCACCTATCTTGTAACCGAATGCATAAGAAACCATGTGAAAAATATTTGTCTGAGAATTTTGTTACGTTTAGTGAGTTTGTATGGGGCTTTTTTGCTGCTTGATAACAAAAACTGTTACGTTGTGTGTTTCCTTATTTGCACTGGTGGCCTGGAATTTAAGGACTGGAAATGAAGAGCTAAATTTGTGGCTTAAATCTGAATGTCTTTTTTAGTTATGGCTTATAGCAAAACCATAAAAATACTACTACTTGAATGTACAGATTTTAAAATAAAAGAGGTGGCTGTGTTCACCCAAAAGGGAAAAATCCCATAGGGCGCTATGCAACTAAACAGTTCTGCTAGTTCAAGCAGTTTCGGTTGCTTGATGCAATTGACTATCGTTAACCGGAGTTCAACAAGGGCCTTTTGATTTATGCACATGGAAGGCTGTTTTTTCTTTAAAAATAAAAAGATTCAACAGACTCTTAAAAGACGTATTCTAGCAAGGAGCAAGCTAGATCTTTTCTTTTTGACATTTGTTTTCCTTGGGGGCATGTAAGGAAGAATCATAGAACCATTGAATTGTAGGGTTGGAAGGGAGCATGAAGGTCAGAGTCCAACCCTCTGCAATGCAGGAATATTTTGCCCAATGTGGGGCTGGAACCCATGACCTTGAGATTAAGAATCTCACGCTGTACTGACTGAGCTATCCATCATGAGCGTTCTGTCATGTAAGCCTGAAGTGGCTTGCACAGTCTGAAGTGGAGCAGCCCAGAGACATCAGTTTATCACCTCAGTGAGAACTAGTAGCTCTTCGAGAACTGCATGTATGTGTTGCAACATGTCGTTGACGCAATAATAGTGCATTAGGGTTTGATTTGTACTGGACTGTTCACAAAATCATTCCGCTTGTTGGGTGCTCTGCAGTGTTACTGCGCTGTTGCCATCGGGAGGGGCACTCTTGTGCAACAGCACAACAAAAGTGGGGCAACACTCCCCCTTCCTCCTGTAACATTTGTGCTATAAGAGGTTACAGGATTTCAACAGGAAGTTACAGGGCATGCAATGACTGGAAACTAGCACAAGCAGTATGGACAGCAGGATCACATATAACCTTCCTGATGCCACCATGAACACAAATTGTCATGGACACACAATAAAAGGGCTGTCCAGAGGGGCCCCATATCTTCCATTGGAGGCTGAGATCAGACTAAGGCCACATTCAAAAGTACTGTGACACACTTTCAACAGCCATGGCTTCCCCCCAATAATTCTGGGAGCTGTAGTTTGTTAAAGAGTGCTGAGAGTTGTTCAGAAACCCCAATTCCCCTCACAATGGCTTAACAATCCCTCTTCACTTCCAGAAACTTTACTTCTGTGAAAAGAGACTCCCTACAACTCTCAGCACCGTTAACAAACTACAGCTCTTTGGGGGGGGGGGGAGCCATGACTGTTTGAAGTGGCACCACAGCGCTTTAAATGCATCCCAGAGTTGGGTTTTGTAGTGTGTGCTTAAGTGCTGAAGGGAGTCATGCCGATCCTCCATCCTCCTCTTTGGACTGTGGGTCCGCTGTCAAATTACGGTAATGTGTAGGCAGCCCTTGATTAATAGGAGGGTGGGGAGGCCTACCTGTTGAATGCTGTGAGGCCTCTCTGGTAACTACAGGCCCCGAGGCAGCTGCCTGCATTAGCTTGACCCAGAGTGTAATAGGAGAGGGAATGTTAGATGGGAGAATGTTTACACTAGGAAGCCAGAATGGGCTTTTGGGTGCAGCAGGCTCCACCTTGCTTTCAGGGAGGCAAACTGAAGCCAGCAAAGCATAACTAGGAAAGGATGTGTCGTCCCCCCAACAGTCCCCCCCTCTCTGAGGAAGAGATGTACTCAAGCTATTCTCATGCAAAATCTCCCTGCAGCTATGTTTTGTTTATTTAAAAGCATTTTTAAACTGCTAAAAAAAGTTTTTAAAAACCTCTAAAGTGGTATACAATATGAAAAAAAACCCTAAGGAGTTGTAGTCACAGAATTGTAGAGTTGGAAGGGACACCAAGGGTCATCTAGTCCAACCCCCTGCCTACAGCCATTCTGGGGTGGGCTCTGAACCACTAACCTTCTGGTTTAACAGCCAGATGCAATGACCCAATTAACTTTTACTCAGATTAGACCCATTGCAATTAGTGGACATAAGCTAGTCATCCCGGCCATTAATTTCAATGGGTCCACTCTGAGTAAAAGTTGAAAACAACCCAATATGTGGGGAACCTGTGGCTCTCCAAAAGTTGCTGAATTACAGCTGGCCACTGCCCTGCCCAGCCCAGCCCAGGATTCCATTTCTTGGTCATGATAGCGTGTGACAGAGAGACAGAATCCATGAACCAGCTTACAGTTAAAGTTCCATACATAGTCGTAATTGGGGAGTATTTTATTTGTTTTGTTTTATTGCATTTCTATCACCCCTTTTCTCCAAGGAACTCCAGGAGGTGTACATGGTTCTCCCCCTCATTTGATCCCCACAACAACCTTGTGAGGTGGGTTAGGCTGAGAGGCAGTGACTGGCCCGAGGCCACCCAGTGAGCTTCATGGCCAAGCAAGGACTTGAACCCTGGTCTTCCAGGTCCTAGTCCAACGCTCCAACCACTACACCACTCTGATGGCTGGACTCAGTGTGCGCTATAAGTGGTCTATTGTGCATTTTTGATGGATTCAGACAAAGGCAACAAGGGCAATGACTGTCCTCCCCATCCCACATGCACACACCCTCGCCTGTGGCCAGTTTCCACACACCCAGTTGCTTGTTTTGGCAATCGGCAGCGGTGCTCGGATTAATAATCATAATAATAATAAAAAACCTTGGCCTCCTCTCTCCCGCCGTCCAGGAAATGCTGCCCAAACTGACAAGCCTGTTGAAAGGGAGAGTCAACTCAGCTCCTACCCAAAGAAATGGCTCCTTTTTCCTTCCTGAGAACACCTGGTAGGTCAGGACAGGGGTGTTGGGAGAGGGCAGGCTGACAGATCCGTTAGCAGTGTCTTTCCCCCACAGAAAGGTGCAAGATTGAGAGTCAGGTTCCTGTTGCGGGAAGAGAAGGCAGGTGCTTTGTGGAGGAGGAGAGGGCGAGCGAGTGAGTTCAGTCCAGGAAGAGAAAAAGAGTCTTTATATTCAGCATGAATAAGAAGGGAGGCAACGGCAGTGGGTGGGTAGATAGGTGGGGGCTTCTCAGTGCTTACTGGTACCAATTTATTTTAGCAAATGCTGGGTTGTGGTTAGAGAGCCAGCCCAGTGAGCCATTCTGCCCCACCTTTAATTTTTTTTGCAAATATAGCGGGGGGGGGGGGGGAGAGAGAGAGAGAGAAAGAGAGAAAGAAAAATAGTCTATTGTTGTTGTTTAGTCATTTAGTCGTGTCCGACTCTTCGTGACCCCATGGACCAGAGCACGCCAGGCACTCCTGTCTTCCACTGCCTCCTGCAGTTTGGTCAAACTCATGCTGGTAGCTTCGAGAACACTATCCAGCCATCTCGTCCTCTGTCGTCCCCTTCTCCTTGTGCCCTCAGTCTTTCCCAACATCAGGGTCTTTTCCAAGGAGTCTTCTCTTCTCATGAGGTGGCCAAAGTATTGGAGCCTCAGCTTCAGGATCTGTCCTTCCAGCAAGCACTCAGGGCTGATTTCCTTAAGAATGGGTAGGTTTGATCTTCTTGCAGTCCATGGGACCCTCAAGAGTCTCCTCCAGCACCAGTAAATGGACACTAACAATAAAAGTATTTCATAGATCCTAGCTTAAACATAAAAACTGCCCTTCTTAATTTATATGTCCTACCAGATTGATAATTATAAGCTATGGATTATATCCAGTGCTAGTCCTACACAGAATAGATCCGTTGAAATTAATGAACATGACCAGATTATTATTGTTAAATTTATTAGGTCCATTAGCGTCAATGGTCTTACTCTGAGTAAAACTTAGTTGGCTACAGCCCTATACGTTCAAATGCAGGAAAGGCAGTGAGATATGCAGACCACTGAGTAAGTAGATGGTGGGTGTTTATTCTTACAGCCTTGCTGGAGAAGTCTCTTTGCACCAATAAGGGCTCTTTTCATTCTCCGTTTGTTAGTCTGCACATCAGAGGATACAATTTAAGGGTGTGTGAACACCTCCAAACAACAAGGCCTTGCAAAGGCTTGCAACAGAAACCAAAGGGGCATCTAGTTCAGCAGCCTGTTTCTCACTGTGGCCAAGTAAAAGCATCTGTGTGTTCAAGACATATTGCCATTGTTTAACTAGTTAGGATAACTATTAAGATTTCAGCTGTATTGCAAGTAGCACAAGTCAAAAATTAAAGAAGCAGTTGAACAGCACATGTAGGTCAGTGGTGGGGAACCTGTGGTCCTCCAAATATTGTTAGATTGCGAGTGTCGTGTTCTGGTCTGACACTGGAACCCCCAGGGCAAGCCTGGTCAAGGTTGCTGGACCACGGACAGCTCCGAGTGCCTTTGAAGATCCTTTGGAAACTGCAGTTGGTTTCAAAATCCAGCAGTAATATTTTCTACAACCAGACAAAAGCAATACGAAAACAAAACAAAACACAACTGCCCATCACAAATAAAACTCGGTGTACAAATCCAAACATTTAAAATGAAGAGTCATATAGATATTAAATAGCATTGGGGACAAAACTGATCAGCTGCCAGTGGCCTGAGGATACAGTCATCCACTATTTCTCTCTGGAACTGACCCAGTAAGTAGGAGTGCAATCATTGTAACATGGTAGCCCCAACTCTCGGAGCTGGTACAGGAGATACTGTGGTCATCTGAGCTGCTTTGGGTCGTAGTTCCCCTATCCGGCTTCTGAAGGAGGTTATCCATCAGTTATCCCATCCTTTGCTATTTGCTTCTCTCCCTGCAATTGGTACCCAAAGGCAAACATCTAGGAATGCGTGAATCTGTCAATTTCAAATTCTCTCTTTCTCATTTTCCGATCTTAAATTCACTTCTTCGCATTTCTACTTTAATTTGTGTTTGTATGCAGTTTTGCTTAATACACACCTTTCTGCAAAGCAATTTTCCCTAATGCTTTTTGTGTGTTATTTTCATTAATACATGCATTAATTTGCACACTCTTACCTTTTGAGGACATTACTTGGCATTGCAAAGTTCTAAGAAGCGTGAATTTCAAAGGATGGCTCTGTGTTTTGGTTCGCATGTTGTTTTGGAAAGTGTAAACCAGATCTATTCACCTTTAAATGCAAACTGAATTGAATTTCTCTCCCCTCCCTACACAGCCTTCAACGTGAAAGCTCCACCTAGCTTGTGTGTGAGTAGCCCTTACACCAGCTGCCTTACAATAATATTTGTCCAGCCTTTTCCTCCGGCTTCCCATCATGCTGGCCTTTCCATGTTGCCACCCTCTTGCAAGAAGAGCACAGTCCCTTGACTCAGCCCCTTGCTGCATTTATTTCCTTATTAAGTGAGAACTGGGTTTCTAGCAGCCTGTTTTGGACTGTATTGGATGGTGGTAAAACCACCACAGATCCTGCTTTAGGAAGGTGCAGCCATCTTTATGTATCGGAAAGGTTGAATCAGGAGAACTGCGAACTCACTATAAAAACCGTATATCATAGGGTTGGTGGATTAGGAAAATAGAACATTTGAGATTTCAATTCTTCTTTCAAACGAGGGAGAGCGGCGAGGAAGCGTGGGGACGTATCCCCGACCACAGTAGATTATCATGTTACAAAAGTAACTCAGCCTTGGACACACAAAGGCGCCATTCACTTAGAGGAGAATGACCTAGTTATGGATTCAGGGCCTGAGTTATTTTCATTTTTGCTTCTCCCCATTTTGGCTAGAAATAGCAAGGCCGCTTGGACACAAACAACATTGCAATTCAAAGCTTTGAAAACCGGGGGCAAAACTTCAGAAGAAAGCCAACATTCTCGCAGGCTGCCAGCAGCTATCTGAATATTCCCATTTTTATTTTTCAAAAATTGGATTGGTTGAAATTCCACCTACAGAACAGTCATTGTAGAGCTGGAATCACAGTCCTTGGCAATTGTTGCACTTGCTTTACTGGCCCTTTCAGGCTTTGCACTGAGGATGCTCCCCTGGTCCTCCACCTCCAAAACCTGAAGTTTTCACCCTTAAGCAACTGAAGAAGACTTAAGCTCTCTTTCACTGAAATGGGTGTGGGTGGGGTTCTTGGCATAGTCACAAATTGGGCCAATTTCCTGCAAGTAACTGTAGCTCTGGCCCAGGCCAGATCGAAAATTGAGCACTGAGGTTGGAATGCTTGTTGATTTCAGAAAGCTAACATCCGTTCACAAAGAAGAATCTCCACTCACAGCTCAGGTAAACAGTGTTGTCAGGTTTTTGTGCTGTTGCGGAAAAAACTGCAAAACCTTGTTAGCCTGTGGTGGGTAAGAATCTCCCTCAGGCAATGGGGCAGAGAAGCTTTTGAGACATAAAAGAGAATTCATTCTTTCCTTTTTGACATTTGTATATATCAGAGGTGGCTAATGTGGTGCCTTCCAGGTGTTATTTGTTTGTTTGGTTTCTTTATTGCATTACGGTCTCTCCAAGGAGCTCAAGGTGCCATACATGGCTCTCCCCTCTCCTAGCCACCACGGTCACTTGGACCTCTAATGACAAAGATGTAATTGAATTGTCACAGGCTGTACTTTTTGCATTTCACTGCCATCCCTGCCCGCTCCACTCACTGTGAGACTGTTTGCTGTTTCTGTGCCACTGCAAGCATCAACAAACTTTGCAATGCTAGAATGATTGCATTTTCATGAATGACTGTTCATGCAAATGGCCTCTTAGCTTCTCTTTAGCTTTATATAGAATGGCCAACACACTTGCTTTCTGTATTTGATTGGCATTTACATGCTCTTACTTATCCCCCCACCAATACAGGTGTCTCTGTGTAGGAATGGATCTGAATGGCATTCTTACACTCTGTAGTTTACAATGCCACATACTTCACTGGTGACTTACGTACATGATAGATTTGCTGTGGACAGGTTCTTTTCTCCCAGCTCTGTGTGTGTGTGTGTGTGTGTGTGTGTGTACCATTCCCTCTGTTTTTGATGTTTCAGCATGAGTGCCATTGCCGGACTCTGGAGCAGGTTTAGGGGCCACATAGGCAGAGAAGGAATCTGGTTGCGCTAGTCTGACGCCACTCACACAGCGTTAGATGCAACCCATTATCTGGATAAGACCAAAGACTTCTGCATATATTCCTCTATCAGGCATTGGCCCAAAGAGTGATCTCCTTGCACCTGTTTTGTTTCTCCCCTTGCTCACTTTGCACAGTTCTAAAATAGCTCTTGCTTTCTTCTGCCTAGCTGGGATCAAGATGACGACAGCTGCGCCCTTGTCTGAGGATTCTGTGTCTTCAACAGATGCAGCCACAAAGTCTCAAGAACAAATTCTCTATCAGAGTAAGATAAATGCAAAGCTGACATTTTGGGGTTGCATGCCTAAGTTCCGCATGTTTTTGAACAGGTATTGTGTGAGGCATTTTAAATGGGGAAAATAGCATGGTAGTTAAAAAGAAGACATCTCCCGCTCCAGGATCACTGTCCTGATGAAACAGCCTTTGCCAACCTGGTGCCCTCAAGATAATTTTGGACTGCATGTCAGCCCCAGCCAGGATGGCCAGTGGTAAGAAATGTTGGAAGTTGTCCATCACCGTTTGGAGAGCACCAGGTTGGCTATCCCTGGGATAAAAAAATTAGGAAGGAACCACTGACAGCTTTTTTAAAGAGATCAAAAAATCACGATGTAAAATCCAGTCCTGGATCTCTCCAGTCACACCTATTTCAGTCCTAAGGAAGTTGTTTTTCCTCTGAAAATAAAGAGTCCCTGACACAGATTCAAAGGACTGACCCTACTATTATTGTGCATGCCCAAAGGAGATATTACAGTCTGTTCTTTCTCAAAAGAAGTTTGTGATTAAGAAATGGGGAGTGTTGGCGGGTCCTATCCACACTCCTGAGAAAGTGAAAAAGTAAAAGAAAATATTTTTTTTTTAAATCGCACTGAATAGGAACAAATAAAGACAGGTAGCAGCTAGTTCAACACAGCCTACATTGCCTAGCAGTGGCTCTCCAGCATTTCAAACATGAGTCAGTCCAACCCTTATCTGGAGATGCCTGGGATTGAACCTGGGACCTTCTGCATGCAAAGCAGATGCTCTACCACTGAGCTATGGCCCTTCCCCCAAACAGTTAAGCTGCCTTATATTGAGTCAGACCATGGGCTGATCTAGTCCAAAATGGTCTACTCTGACTGGCAACAGCTCTCCAGGGGTTCTGATGAGGGTATTTCCCAGCCCTACCCAGAGATGCCAGGGATTGAACCTGGGACTGTCTGCATGCATAGCAGATGCCCTACCACTGAGCTATGGACCCCCCTGAGCCCTCAGATGGAACTAAGGTATCAATCTCCCTGGAGGCACTTTGGGAATCCAAAACCTTGGCTGACCCCCATTCACTTTAGTATTGAAGAATATCTGAAGAAGTGTGCATGCACACGGAGGCTCATACCAATAACAAACTTAGTTGGTCTCTAAGGTGCTACTGGAAGGATTTTTTTTTTATTTTGTTTCGACTACGGCAGACCAACACGGCTACCTACCTGTAACTAGCACTTTAGTATTGTTTTTCTTTCCTTCCTCCTGTTAGGTTCTGGAGCGATTGTGGCGGCCATTGTAGTTGGCATCATAGTTATATTCACGGCAGTTCTCCTCTCGCTGAAAATGTATAATAGGTGAGTCAGTGACTTGGCTTTGGGCTCAAGTTCCTTTGATTTTTCAAGAGAACAAGCAGGCTGTGGGCAGTATTCCCTGCATTTCGTAGGCATTTCCACAGGATCTGCTTCATGTTTGTGTTCGTGGTGCAGCTCCACAGCCTGGCCCTGCAATTTTTGCTTTAGCAAGATCCTCACTTAGAAGTGATACGCCATACAAGGGAGACCCAAAAGGCAGTATCCAACTAAGCTCTACTCAGAGTAGACCCACTGAAATCAGTAGCCCTAAATTTGTCAGGTACTTAATGGATGTCTTCTGAGTAGGACTAGCATTGCATTCAACCCAATGAATGGAGAAGAGGGTGATATGCTGCTGCTTTGGGGCAAAATATGCAAGGGTGATCCAGTGAATAGAGAGGAGGGTGGAGCTTAGTAGCAGTGATCTAAGAGGCAAAATGCATTATCAGCTGCCTCTTTTGATGTATTTAAATAGACCTGTTTTGTGTTATCTTGATCACATGGGAGCAGCTACAGCAGGGGCTGCCTCGACAGCTATCCAGTAACTCAGGACAATGGAGAAGGGACCAAGAATGCACATCAGGGTTTCTCCCTTTTAAGAGCATAAGGAGCCACCTTTATACTAAGCCAGACAGTTCATTCATCTGGCTCAGAATTGGCAGTAGCTCTTGAGGTTTTCAGGCTGGAATTTTTCCTAGTCCCGTCTAGGACCTTCTGCAGGCAAAGCCTATGATCTGCAACTGAACTGCGGCCTTTCCTCTCCCATCTTCTGGTAAGGGCAGCAGTGTTGCAAGGGGGGGGGTGCTGCATCATTAATTCCTCCCTTGTGACTTTGGGAATCTTGTGTTCCTGGAGTGGATAAATCCTGTCCAAATGGGCCTGTTTGCCGCACTTCAGGTTGCAGATAGAGGGTTGGTGTGGCACAGTTCATCATGTGGGACTGCTGTTCACGCAGCATGCCCATTAGAGGACAGAGGATTCTGTAGGTTTCCTTCCCACCTTGGGCAATAGTGCAGAGGAAGGGAAAATGGATACCACCCTGAGACATTACGTCAAGACATAATGCAATGTTTGCTTTGCTCCTTGTAGACGCATGAGGACAAAGCGGGAGCTGGAACCGAAGAACGCCAAAGCCACAACCCCTTCCACGCTGGGGCAGGACACCAGTAGTCCCAGTCGCACCACAACAGTGACGTTCGTCCCCATGGACATCCAAATGCCCAACAGAAGGCCCTGAGGCATGAGTGCCACAGAGGATGACAAATCAGACCCAAACATGGGCCTTACAGGCTCTGGTAAGACCTGTGATTTGTCAACATAAAGGAAGTTAAAGACTGGAGCTGCTAACTGGAGTTGCACTGTGACCAGCTCTCCATGTTTCTGTTTCTTTAAGAAAGGAAAAGACCGAGATCCTCAGGACAATGGATGTCACCCAGTTGCAAGAGTGGCGTCTTGTCTCTACAGCTGTGGATACATAAGGGTAGTTGTTGGCAAGGCTGCCCCCGTAGTTGGATCGAGAGATGCCCTTCCACCGTTTTCTGCTGCTTCACATTAGGCTCCCCATGGCCATGGATTCTGAGCGGTCCTTTGCTGGTTGGAGATTCTGAAGAGGCAAAGGGGACTCCCATCCACCCAAGGCCGTCCATACTGTTAGGCGGAGTGAAGTGGCTGCCTTAGGCGGCAGGTGCTGAGGGATGTGGAGTGGGAGCAAGGTATTCGAGGGCAGAGCTGTGACACAAAACACAGCCTTCGCAGCATCCCCCAAACTAGCCTGCTCCTCGCAGGTGCTAGTGTCAGGAATTTAAGGTAGGGTAGGAGGAAATGGCCTTCTCCTGTTCGTTTCCCATGAGAATGATGCAGGGAGCTGTGGTAAATCAGTTTTCAAAGCCTCCTCGTGCCCCAAATTAAAGAGAAGTTTATACCTTCAGTGGCATCGCTCCACTTCAGATTGAGTGCTAGGAAGATGCTTGGCTGACTCTTTTCCTGTGTTCAAGGAGCTGTGCTTTGTCTTTTTCCCCCTTGTATGGGGAGCATTTGAACATTTGACCTCTTACAAGGAGAAGAGAAAAGGCCACCTAATTGATCAGGGTAGCTGGAGCAACTCTCCTGTGAGGAAGTTAGCATGCTTGGGGCTTAAATACTTTAGTGGGGGCAAAGGCAATGTAGGCCATTATAGAGGTATTTAAATTATGCATAGTGTGGAGAAAGAGAAGTTTTATTTCCTCTCTCCTAACACTTGAACCTGGGGGCATCTAATGATGCTGAAAGGTGGGAGATTTAGCACAGATAAGATGACAGACTTCTACGTACAATGCAGTTAAATTCTGGAATTCATTACCACGACATCTGGTGATAGCCACCAATTTCGACAGCCTTAAAAAGGGATTAGGTAAATTAATGGAGGATCATAGAATCATAGTGTTGGAAGGGGACCCAAGTGTCATCTAGTCTAACCCCCTGCAATGCAGGAATCTCATGCCTGTTAGTTTCCCCTTTTTAGTCTCCATGTTGCCCTAGTAGAACTCAGCAAGAACAAGGATGGGGACAAAACGAGAATTGATTGGCTTTGCCTGTGACTGGCTCTGGCTCCAGCTACTGTTGGCATCCCTGCTTTCAATGGGCACCAGCCACCACTGGATCTGCGGTCAGGATAGGGTAGAATTTGATTCAGTTAGCCCAGGCTTCCTCAACCTTGGCCCTCCAGGTGTTTTTTTGGCCTACAACTCCCATGATCCCTAGCTAGCAGGACCAGTGGTCAGGGATGATGGGAATTGTAGTCTCAAAGCATCTGGAGGGTTGAGGTTGAGGAAGCCTAAAGGCAAACCCACCTAATTTGTATTTTCTAAAATACAAGAACCAAAACACAGCCAACCTTCAAAATTCTATGAATTTTGTAGTGCAGCTCTGCAGCTGTGTACTGTGCATAATAATTCATTTATTGGGGTAAAGTGTGCATAAAATGTGTATGCTAGTGAGAATAACATACAAAAATGCATTAGAGCATTTGTGTATATTGGGTAAAATTGCATACAGACGGGCATATTAGGAGAAATTCACACAATAATGCTGATGGATTTTCATGAGGCCTTTACAAAAGAAAAATATAACCAGATGTGGAAAACGGAATTTAAGATTGGAAAAATAAAAACCAAGAGAAATTAAAATCGACAGATTCACCCATCCCTAATCTGAGATGGTTGTGTGAGCTGAACACAATTCAGCATGCTTTAGGCTGCAGTCACTTCCTAGGATATGACACCTCTTGATCTACACAAGGTTTACTTCTGAGTAGACATGTGTAGGCTTACACTGCAAACATATTTTACCATTCACGTGTCCATAAATTATGTGATTTGTGACCCACCTAAAAAAGGAGCATGCCACATCCTTCTGCTGAAATTCTAAAATAAAGAGAATCTCAGAAGTAAAATTCTTCTTTGTCTTCTGCTCTCTACCCTTCACAGTAAGGACCCAGAATGGGTTACAACATTAAAACACAATATTAAAAACAGTTTAGAACTTACAATCACAGAAATAAGCTGAGTCCTAAAAATATACATCACAAGTGTTAAGAGCCAGGGTAAAGTGGTAAGTCTTCAGCATTCACCAGAAGCTCTATAGTCTAGGTGCCAGACACACTTCTGTGGGAAGGGAGTTCCACAACTCTCAGACTACACGCCCCCCCCCCAGGTTCTGAGGGTCCCGTCTGCTGATCTCAGCACTGAAGAGGCTCTGTAGGGAAGTAGGTGCTTTTTCAGGTATTTGAGGCACCTTGAATTAGTCCCAGAAATGGCTGGCAACCATAACAGTGGTTTTAAAATGGGTTATATGATATTTAAACAGAACATCAGCCAGTAATCTGGCTGTGGAATTTTAGACCAACTGAAGTTTCTGTATTCAAGGGTAGCTTACCCCACCATATGGTGAGCTGTAGTCTCGTAATCTGGTGAACTGGGTTCGCATCTCCGCTCCTCCACATGCAGCTGCTGGGTGACCTTGGGCTAGTTACACGTCTCTGAAGTCTCTCAGCCTCACTCACCTCACAGAGTCTTTGTTGTGGGGGAGGAAGGGAAAGGAGAATGTTAGCCGCTTTGAGACTCCTGAAGGGGAGTGAAAGGCGGGATATCAAATCCAAACTCCTCCTCCTCTTCTTCTTCTTCTTCATATGAAACGAAAAGCAAGCTATGAGATAGATGAGCTTCAAAAGCAGCATGGAGGTACATGGAAGTAACCCACATCCTCACACTCAAAGATTTATGGCAAAAGAAAAAAAGATATCCAGCTATATTTTAGCTTCCATGCTACCAGGCCGTAGTAGAGATGGAACAGTAGCTCTATCAGCTTAGAGACAGAGGAATGTGCTTGCAAAAATGTATTAGGAGCAACGTGCCTAAAATGCACGTTTTTCACATGGACATAAAAACGAAAGCAAACCAATATAGCAGTGTGAAGAACTGAACTTAAGATTCGAAAGCCTACTTGACAGATTTGTCGATTTCTAGTAAGGAAAGGCAACACCAGGGATTCTTGCTGAGGAGCAAGAGAAGCTAGGCTGTGTAAACCAAGTTTGTAGTTTAGGCATGTTGGCTGGAAGCCAAGTCCATGCTGTGCTCTGTGTACAGTGTTCCAGGTTGTGCTCTGTGTACAGTGTGAGTGGATGGCTGGAATGTGCACAGACCAGCTCTTCACACTGAATTGCAAGTTTCACAATGGTTGCCCATCAACGCTTATTGTCAGTTTTGAAGAGAAGTCTTGTGACAAATCCCTTTTTCTACATAGACTTCGAGGCTGGAGAATACGTTGGCAGTAAGCACGTGAGTTTAGTATTGCTGAAGTAGGTGTGTCATAATCCGACCAAAAAAGTTCACCAGGCCCACGGCATACATTTGCACAGTAGCAGCATTGTTGCTCTTGTACGAACTCCTGTGTCCTCGGCTCATGTGTTAAAAGGAGGGCCGGATGTGGGGCCCCAAGCAACATCTGGCCCCCAGTGGCCCTGCCAATTTTCAATCAGGGCATAGTTTTTGCAATTATTATTAAGCAATTGTAGGGAACCAGTGGCCCACTGGATGTTCTCAGGCTACAACGTCCATCATCCCAGACCCACTGGCTGGACTGGCAGCAGCCAACAACATCTGAGGTAACTGCCCTCTGGACGGGGCTCTGGTAACGGGGCTCTGGAACAGATCCCGTTCGCATCTAGAGGTACCACTGTACTTAGTTCCTGAATCAGGTCACAGGCTCACTCTATTCAAACACAGACATACCCTTAAGACAGGATTTGTGAAGGAAAATATAATGGGGAGGCTTTTCCATTTTCCTTTGACCTTGCAGAGAAAACATTTGGTCAGTTTGGGAATCAAAAATGGTTCCAGGTCGGTCTTCCTGTGCTGATCTATGTACGTGCTTGGTTGGTACACTTAAGAACATTTAACATATATCTAAGACCTCAAAATTCCTATCACATTACTAAGCCTCATTCAGGGTTTTATTGCTGACATATGAAATCACCAAACCACTGGCAATACCCAAAGAGGGAAGTGTGCAATGTCTCTTGTGCACAGCTTCTGAAACTGATAACACCCTTCACCTTTCCAACAGGATATTCCTTGCAAAAGCACCAAGATACCAGGGGTGTCTAAGTGTAGAGCAGTTGTCACCAGCAGCACCCCAGCACCCTCCAGATCTTTTGGACTGCAACTCCCATCAGCTGCCCCCCCCCTCATTAAACATACACTCAACTATACAGCTCCCTCTTGTGGCAATTTACAAATCAATGTTTTATTTCTTTATTATTCATACCTCTATGCAGCCCAGTGATCATAATGCTACAGGCCACTCCAATCCCTACCAAGCCATGCATGGAATTCCAGGGGTCTTGGCCCTCAGCCAGGGGCTGTGCTCCTTGGTAGAACTGAAGACGCAACGGAAGCTGTTGTACGTTTAAGAAATATGATTTATTCACATATTATTCACCTGAATCCACATATTATTCACCTGAATCCAGATCTTACAGCACTGTCATTTCAAGAGGGTCATTCCCCAAAGCAGTGTGGCACTGGAATTTAAGGCATCTCTCCCTGTCTGCCACCAGCCAGCCAAGATAGCTTTTTTCGTCTGTCTCCTAGCTTCAAGTAAATGGGATCATTTTCCTCTCACACCATGACCCCAACCTCTGCCATTGTCTCCCAAATCTCCTGTCTCTGTTCACACCTCAGGGCGGGGTGGGGAGGACCGTCAATGGCCCTGTATTGTTTCTTAAGGCCCAGGAATTCCTCTGCAGCTTGCATTTCCCCTTCATATCCCAAATAATAAGTATCCCATTTATCAATTTATAGGGTTGGGAGGGGGCAAACAATGTTTAAAGCACATTTATACCACGCGTGAACAGTCCGAGCTTCCGCCACAGAACCCTGGGAACTGTAGTTCACCCTCTTGCAGCTCTACACTTTTTCCTCGCCCACCACTGGCATGTGGCCCATGGAAGGTTTCTTAAAGGGAATGTGGCCCTTGATCTGAAAAAAGGCTCCTTGCTCCCTTCATCCTTAAGGCAGGTCACGACATGGAAAGACAATATTGAAAAGAGTGTTTTAAACAACTTATTTTGAAAGTGTTAAGAGTTACATCCTCTTCTCTAACAAGACACGCGCATTACCACCTGTGAACATCACCCTTACAAAATACTATGCAGAGAGTTGAGGCAGGGTACCGTCAGATGTAATGAATTATTATGAGTATTAAAATTATTACTGGGTGAAGCGATGTGGAATTAAACGGTGCGCGAGGGCTACACCTGGGCAACCCTAGCTCAAGCAGGGTGTGCGCTCCGCGCATTTACGCTAAGCGAGAGCAAGGCCGCAGCCTCCCGCAAAACGTGGCTGCAAACACGCAGGAGCCACGACGCTCCGCAGCGCCCTCTTCTGACCGCGGCGACCTTCCCCCGCCCCCTCCAGCAGAAGCGCTTGATTGGCTGAACTGCAACGACGCCACCCTCTCTCCTCCCGGCGATTGGGTATGTCGGTTAAAACGAGAGGTGATCGTTGGCTGAGCTGCCCGTCTCTCTGTTTTTCACTCGCTTTCCCCTCCCCCGGGCCCGCCTCTTTTTCCCCGAAGGCGTCACGGGACTCCGCCCGCCCACCGCTTTCCCTCCCCTGATTCCCGCGCGAAGTGACGAGATCGGCGACGGCAAGGAGGATGATTCACTAAGCCAGAGGAGGTGGGGGCGAGGGGGCAGCGGAGAAGGACGGGCTCTCGCGCTTCTGCCGCGCGGTGCATGTCGGGAGACGGAGCAGCGCTCTCTGCGGCCAGGCAGGAGGAGTCAAGATGGACGCGGGATTCTTCCGCGTAAGTGCTGAGGCCGGGGTGAAAAGCAACCGCGGCGGGAGGGACGGGGAAGAGGCGGCGGCTGGAGGGAGGGCGGCGTAGGGGGTCGCCCGTGCCCTCCGTCCCCGGACCCCCGCCTGACGCGAGCCAGGCCGGCCCTTTCTCTTCCCCTCCCCGTGTGTGGAGCCGAGGCGGAGAAAATGGCGGCGGCGCGCGGCTCCTTTCCAGCGCGAGGCAGAAACGCGAAGGTGGGGGGCGAACGGAGGGGGGATTCTTCCTCCTCACGCGCTGGCCCCCCTTTTTTGTCCATTCTGTCTGCCTCTTTATTCCTCCTCATCCGCCCCCGAAGCCGTCGTTCTTCTCGTGGGTTTTCCTTTTTGTCTCCGCTGCCTCGAAGCCGTCGCCCGCCCACAGGAAGGAGGAAGCGAAGGGCCCCGAGGCGCCTGGGCCTCCCCGCACCTTTTAAATTAACTCATCCCACATGCACCCTAAACCTGCACCCTTAGGTTTAGTTCTCGGTGGTAGTAATAATCGTCCCTTCCTCCATTAATAGCGTTGAGGACGAATCGTCCCTTTCATTCTGATACACACGGTTGGTCAATACGTTTCTGAAGCCTCAATATCCAGCCTATTCCCTCGTTTACCTCCCTCATCTCCTTCCTCCCCGCCCAAAGCCCACCCTGCTTTTGTTCGGTCGATTTTGGAGGGCTTTTTATGCACTTTTTATTTTTGTGGACTAGATAGAACTTGTTTTGTTAGACTCATAAATAGGAAGAGTTAAGATAGATATGGAAACCATTGCATACATTTAAGTACAGGATACGAATGTGTACATTTTTGCTCTGGACTAGCGGTGCAGAACAAGCGGCTTTCCAGATGTTGCTGGATTCCAGCTCCCACCGTTTTTGACTATTGACCATGCTGGCAGAGGTTGATGGGAGTTACACTGATAACATTTGTAGGGCCACAAGTTCCTCATCCCTGCTCTCGAAATACAGAAAAAAATTGTCCAGTAGCACCTTAGAGACCAAGTTTGTTCTTGGTATAAGCTTTCATGTTCATTCTTCAGATCTGAAGAAGTGTGCATGCACTACTTTAACATATGTA